TATTTTGTAAAATTGTTGATATTTTGTGAGTTTTTGATTGTATTGTGTTTTGCTGTATATAAATTTCCTTTTGATTAAACAATACATTTTAATAATTATCAAACTCCAATTCCTTTTTCACTACACTCTTTTTTACACCTTTGGCTTTTTTAGTTTCTTTATTTTCTCCATTTTCAATATATGAACATGAATACACTTTTGATTGTAAATTTACCAATTCTGAAATTATGCTGCCATTCATTTCATCTTTCATTTTCCCTACAACCTTTTTGTTTTCAGTTGAATGTAAAAAGTGATCTTCAGGATAATCTGAAGTGTCTAATAAATTTTTCATTTCTGCAAAGTCTTTGTACAAATCATTTGTTTGAATGTTGTAAATTAAACTATCAGTGTCTTGATATAATAATGCAATTCTGTTTTCATACTGTAGCTGCATTACATCATAATGAAATTCATACATTAAAGTTTTTGACAAATCTAAAATTGTAGCACCAACATAGATGGGTTTGTCTAACTTAACATTAGTTTTAGTAAATTCTAAACTTGACAAGTAAAGATTGATCTTTTTCTNAATCTCTTTTCATTGTTAACCAATTTTACATCACATCTATTTCTAACGTTTTCCATTGTTCTACCGAATACAGAATTGACCATTGTCTTGAAAAAAATTTTTTCAAAATTATTCTTAGATTCAGATCGTAATTTTGTATTCAAATCAATGTATGGTTGTAACCATTGTGATTGGTTAAAAATTAAAATTCTATGAACCTTTTTTATTTTTAATCCATGATTTAATGCTTGTTTTAGTGTTGTGTGATGTAAAACATATTTTTCCTTATCAAACAAGGTGCAAGCTAATTTTTGATATTTTCCAATTTTCATTCTTTCTGCACAAAATGGAAAATCATTATGTAAATCATGAATATTCTTTGGATATTCTAAATCTACTTCAAAGACACATCCTTTACTTTTGTGGTTTAACTTTTCTATATATTCCAATATTTGGTTTTTTGAATTTAGTTTAAAATCTGAAGCCCATTCAAATTTACCATATGGTAAAAACTGTTTCATTGCCCAGCCATATAGATTGTTTGCATCCAGATATGTAATGTAACTTGATGGTTTTGTTGAATCATAATCTGGGAGATACTTGTTATTAGCTTTAACATATTTTTTAACTGATTGTACAATTCCTCCTCTGATTCCTTTTTCTACAAATAGATACATTTCAGGGTCAGTTAATAATTCCAATTCAACTTTTGTCAACTTTAACATTGCATCCCATGCTAATCCAGGTGCTGTATAATACCAGCATGGATCTAAATCATAATTTTTATAACAAAGATCTCTAAAATTCTCAAATACATCTGTCAATAACAAAACATCTGTCAATAGATACAAGTCATGATATTCACCCAAGTTTTTTACTTTAAATTTTTTCCAGACATTTTGAGCATGTGTATATTCCTTTTCAGTAATGTTAAATTTGTTTAATGAGCTATAAAACTTGTCAATTGATGGTAGATTAGTTTCCTCAAATCTGTTAGTAGAATCTATGTATTCATATGGATATACACCTTTTTTAGATAAGAGTTCAATTTGCTCATCACTATATTTACATTTCAAATGTTCTTTAAGATACTTTTTTTGATCAAATTTTAAGTTGTTTGCTAGTGTATCTAATGACGATGGCATGAACGCAAAAGTATCAAGAAATCTAATTTCAAAAAATACATCTTTATTCTTGTTTTTACTTACTATCGTTTTCTGTAATATTCTAAGTGAAAATGAAATGTATTTTTCAGAATTGCTAGGTATGATTTTAATGTCTTTAAGCCTCTCTTGATTTTCAATTTCTGAAATGATTAAATGACTATCATATCCTTTTAGGTTGTGAAAAAAGACAGGAATAAAGTTTGATTTTCTAAATTTATTTATATTACACTTGTTGCATAAAGCCTGTCTATACTTTCCTGTAAAGTGATCATGATCTCTTACTTTTTT